AATGCACCTGGCCTCTGAATGCCATTTTCTGGGTAATGTCTCAGGATAGGTTTTTCACTTATGTCTATCTGTCTGTATTGCTTTCCTGCAAACCCATTTCTTCTCTCTCCCCCTTGAATAGGCATGTATTACAAATCTTAAATAGCAAAACATGAAACTAGCCAAAGGCCGTGCATGGTGGCTCATGCCTATAATCCCAGCACTTTGGGAGGCTAAGGCAGGCGGATCACCTGAGGTCGGGGATTCCAGACCAGCCTGCCCAACATGGAGAAACCCCATCTCTACTAAAAATACAAAATTAGCCAGGCATGGTGACACATGCCTGTAATCCCAGCTACTCAGGAATCTGAGGCAGGAGGCAGAGTTTGCAGTGAGTTGAGATCGCGCCATTGCACTGCAGCCTGGGAAACAAGAGCGAAACTCTGTCTCTAAATAAGTAAATAAATAAAACTAGCCACGTTGCACAACAACTGAAGTTGTTTTTTCCTTTTTCTTTATTATTATTTTTTTTTCAAACAGAGTCTTGCTTTGTTGCCCAGGCGGATCACCTGAGGTTAGGAGTTAGAGACCAGCTAAAATGGTGAAACCCCATCTCTACTAAAAATACAAAAAATTAGCTCGGCATAGTGGCGGGTGCCGGTGATCCCAGCTACTCAGGAGGCCGATGCAGAAGAATCACTTGAACCCGGGAGGTGGAGGTTGCAGTGAGTCAAAATTGCGCCACTGCACTCCAGCCTGGGCAAGAGCAAGACTCTGTCTCAAAAAAAAAATAAAAAGAGACAGGTTCTCTCTCTGTTTCCCAGGTTGGAGTGCAGTGGTTTGATCCTAGCTCATGGAACCCTTAAACTTCCGGGCTCAAGTCATCTTCTCACCTCAGCCTCCTGAGTAGCTGGAACCACAGGAATGTGCCACCACACCTGGCTTATTTTAAAATTTTGTTGAGACAGGGTCTTGCCATGTTGCCGAGGCTGGTTTTGATATCCTGGACTCAAGTGATTGTCCTGCCTTTTCCTCCCAAACTGCTGGGATTATAGGTCTGAGCCGCCATGCCTGAACCATTTTACATATATATATTTATATTGGACACAGGGTCTTGCTTTGTCACCCAGGCTAGAGTGCAGTGGCACAGTCTCTGCTTACTGTAGCCTCTGCCTCCCATGCTCAAGCAATCCTCCCACCTCAGTTGCCTGGGTAGCTGGGACTACAGGCGTGCACCACCATATCCAGCTAATTTTTAAAATTTTTAAATAGAAACGAGGTCTCCCTATATTGCCCAGGCTGGTTGCAAACTCCTGGGCTCAAGGGATCCTCCTGCCTTAGCCTCTCAAAGTGCTGGTATTACAGGCCTGAGTCACTTCATGCAGCTATTTTATAATTTTTTTTTGAGATGGAGTCTTGCTCTGTTGCCCAGGCTGGAGTACAGTGGCATGACCTTGGCTTACCGAAACCTCCGCCTCAGGAGTTCAAGCCATTCTTGTGCCTCAGCCTCCTGAGTAGCTGGGACTACAGGTGACCGCCACTACACCTGCCAATTTGCCAATTTTTATCTATCTATCTATCTATCTATCTATCTATCTATCTATCTATCGATCGACAGAGGGTGCTGGGATTACAGGCATGACCTGCTGTGCCTGGCCAATATAAATGATGATGATGATGATGATGATGATGATGATTTGAGACAGAGTCTTGCCTTGTTGCTCAAGTTGGAGTGCAGTGGCACAATCTCAGCTCACTGTAACCTCCACCTCCCTGATTCAAGCAATTCTCCTGTCTCAGCCTCCCACATGAGCAGCCATGCCCAGCCCATACATTCTTTAACAAATAAGGAGACAAGAAAGTTGTTGCCAGGTGCTGTGACTCATGCCTATAATCCCAACTCTTTGGGAGGCCGAGGTGGGTGAAATACTTGAAACCAGGAGTTCAAGACCAGCTTGGCCAATATGGCAAAAGCCCGTCTCTACTAAAAATACAAAAATTAGCCCAGTGTGGTGGTGGGTGCCTATAGTCCCAGCCAGTCGGGAGGCTGAGCCAGGAGAATCGCTTGATCCAGGAGGCAGAGGTTGCAGTGAGCAGAGATCGCGCCAGTGCACTCCAGCCTGGGCAACAGAGAGAGATTGTGTCTCAAAAAAAAAAAAAAAAAAATGAGAGAGAGAAAATTGTTTCTCGCAAGTTAATGCTGATGAATACGTGTAGAAAAAAATAATGGCAGAGTACGGCTGCGTCTTTGAGTGTTGAGAAGGAGAAGGAGCAACTGGGAGGCAGCGTGGGAGTGGCAAGTGGCAGCAGCACACGAGGGCGGCTGCTGTCTGCGCTTGAGGATTTAAAGTCCTGTCTAGAGAACTTACAGAAATGCTGGCAATTTCAAGGAGCCAAAAGTTGTTACAGGCTGGAGAAGAAAACCAGGTCCTGGAATTGTTAATTCATCGAGATGGGGAATTTCAAGAACTAATGAAATTGGTAGTTAATCAGGGAAAAATCCATCATGAAATGCAAGTTTTGGAAAAAGAAGTAGAGAAGAGAGATGGTGATATTCAGCAACTACAAAAACAGCTAAAGGAAGCAGAACAAATACTGGCAACAGCTGTTTACCAAGCAAAGGAGAAGCTCAAGTCAATAGAAAAAGCAAGAAAAGGTGCTATCTCCTCTGAAGAAATAATTAAGTATGCACATAGGATGAGAGGTCGTGCCATTACACTCCAAGAAACAGAGCGAGACTCCGTCTCAAAAATAAAATAAAATAAAATAAACACACAACAAAAACCATAAACAGTGTGTCTGACTCATCAGTCCTCATGCCTTCCAGGCCCATCCCAAGCCTGCTAATCATTTATGTGACTTTCCAGAGTCACTTTCCTTTTCTTGGCCTACTTTTCCCTATTACAAAATAGGAGCTTTGGATATAACAAATAATCACTTTAGGCTGGCATAGTGGCTTGTGCCTGTCATCCCAGCACTTTGGGGGGCTGAGATGGGGAGATTGCTCGATGCCAGGAGTTTGCAACCAGTCTGGACAGCATAGCAAAACCCCATTTCTACAAAAAATACAAAAACTAAGCCGGGCGCGGTGGCTCACGCTTGTAATCCCAGCACTTTGGGAGGCCGAGGCGGGTGGATCACAAGGTCAAGAGATCGAGACCGTCCTGGTCAACATGGTGAAACCCCGTCTCTACTAAAAATACAAAAAAAAGTCAGCTGGGCATGGTGGCATATGCCTGTAATCCCAGCTACTCAGGAGGCTGAGGCCGGAGAATTGCCTGAACCCAGGAGGCGGAGGCTGCGGTGAGCGGAGATCGCGCCATTGCACTCCAGCCTGGGTAACAAGAGCGAAACTCCGACTCAAAAAAAAAAAAAAAATACAAAAACTAGTTGGGCATGATGGCATGCACCTCAGTCCCAGCTACTTGGGAGGCCGAAGTGGGAAGATACTTGAGCCCAGTAGTAGGAGGTTACAGCTATGATTGCTCCACTGCACTCCAAGCTGAGTGTCAACAATTTTTAATTATTGTCATTAATCAAAAACTAATAACGACAATCATCACCATCACTTTGGTTTCCTAGTCCAAAGAGGGAAGCACCCCGGCCCTCCCTCCACCATGTTGCGAAGAAGGGAAAAGTGGTAGGCACTGGGGTGACTTCGAATGGCTTTGTGCCCTCTTCGTGCTCTACTACTCTGGAGCCCAATCCTGGTGTCACATAAACAGCGGGGCCCCAGGGCTGGGCCTATTGAAGAGCAGGCCCACTGTGAGGATGGCTCTGAATAACAAAGCTGGGCTGAGATTCTCACACTTCAGTGAGTATTCACAGAGATCACCTGGAGGGAGCAGGCGGTGGCTCACACCTATAATCCCAGCATTTTGGGAAGCCAAGGAAGGCAGATCACTTTAAGGTCAAGAGTTCCAGACGAGCCTGGCCAACATTGTGAAACCCCGCCTCTACTAAAAAAATACAAAAATTAGCCAGGCATGGTGCCATGTGCCTGTAATCCCAGCTACTTGGGAGGCTGAGGTAGGAGAATCCCTTGAACCTGGGAAGTGGCAGTTGCAGTGAGCCAAGATTGTGAAACTGCACTCTAGCCTGTGCAACAAGAGCGAAACTCCATCTCAAAAAAAAAAGAAATTGGCCAGACACGGTGGCTCACACCTGTAATCCCAGCACTTTGGAAGGCTGAGGTGGGTCAATCATGAGGTCAGGAGTTTGAGACTAGCCTGTCCAACATGGTGAAACCCCACCTCTACTAAAAATACAAAAATTAGCCAGGTGTGGTGGCGTGCGCCTGTAGTCCCAGCTACTCACGAGGCTGAGGCAGGAGAATTGCTTGAACCAGGAGAGACAGAGGTTGCAGTGAGCCAAGATCACGCCACTGCACTCCAGCCTGGGCGACAGCGTGAGACTACATCTCAAAAAAAAAAAAGAAAAGAAAAAAGAAATCACCAGGAGGTGCTCATTTAAGTTCAAGGCTGCAGTGAGCTATGATTACACCCCTGCACTCCAGCCTGGGTGACAGAGCAAGACTCTGTCACAAAAAACAAAACAAAAACACACTTATCATTATCCAACATGCAATAAGCTTTCTTGTTTAAAGTCTTTCTCACCACCCTAGAACGTAGACACCATGAAGGTAGGGACTTTTTTTTTTTTTTTTTTGAGACCGTCTCACTCTGTTACCCAGGCTGGAATGCAGTCATCTTGACTCACTGCAACCTCCGCCTCCCGGATTCAAGCAGTTCTCCTGCCTCTACTCACCCAGGTAGCTGGGATTACAGGTGCACACCACCATGCCCAACTAATTTTGGGGGTCTTTTTAGTAGAGATGGGGTTTTGTCATGTTGGCCAAGTTGGTCTTGAATTCCTGGCCTCAAGCGATTCACCTGCCTAAGCCTCTGAAAGTGCTGGGATTACAGGCATGAGCCACTGCACCCAGCCAGGGATTGTCTTTTCTGTTCATTGCTATATTCCCAGCACTTAGAATGTTACGTGGAACATATAAGTCCCCAAATCAAAGGACCCTCGGGAGCCAGGCTAGCTTTGGAGGTTCCAGGCAGGCTCAGAGATTAGGTCTGGGCCTAAGGAATCCAGGATCCACTGGAGACAATCTGGAGTCTGCGACTACGTGGTGGGAGCAACAGCATGTCCCCGCCAGCTCCCTTCCCAGGGGAGGCGTGGTGGGCTGCAGTCTTACTGCCACCAGCGCAGTCCTTGGGTCTAGACCTGCCATTCCCCATCCACACCATCTCACGCTCACCTGACTCTGAGCTCTCTCTTGTCCAGGTCCTCCCTACCTTTGAGATGCTGCAATGCCCCGGGCCACAGTCTTATGGGCGGCTAGTAACAGGGTTTCCAGCAGGATCTTGGTGGCACTTCCACCTTTCATCCGGGAGGAGCCGCTGAGACCCTCAGGCTGAAGGAGGTGAAGACACCCAAGAGGAATTGGGAGAGGATGAACACTCCGGAGGCCACTTGTTAGCGACCCCTGGCCATGCATGTGATGGTACTGCTGGCCCCCGGTGTGCCTGTGAGGAATGGTGCTGGGGTGGGCTTGACTAACAGGAAGATTGGAAAGAGGGAAAAGGCCTCCTCTGGTCATTCCTGGGTATATATTTAGGACTCTCTGAGGAGGAAGTCACAGTGATTGGGTCTCTTGTCAGCTGGGTCAAGGGTTTTTCATAAAGTGCTTTCCTTTTCTTTCTTTTTTTTTTTCTTTTTTTTTTTTGAGACAGAGTCTTGCTCTGCCACCCAGGCTGGAGTGCAGTGGTGCGATCTTGGCTCACTGCAACCTCCACCTCCCAAATTCAAGCTATTCTCCTGCCTTAGCCTCCCAAGTAACTGGAATTACAGGAACCTGCCACCACACCCAGCTAATTTTTGTATTTTTAGTAGAGACGTGGTTTCACTATGTTGGCCAGGCTGGTCTGGAACTCCTGACCTCAAGGGATCTGCCCACCTTGGCCTCCCAAAGTGCTGAGATTATAGGCATGAGCCACCACACCCGGCCCAGAGAGTGCTTTTCTTGCCAAGAAATTTCTCCCCCACCTCCCTCACCTCCACCATTTTCTGTGGTAGTTTATCAGTCCAAATGCCACATGTCATATGCTTTGGACAGACAGATGAAGCAGCCATTGCAGGGGTCCAGATGTGGAACACAGCACACTGGACAGCAAAGAGATTCCAGCAAACAGAATGATAACAGTAGTGACTGAGAAAAGAAGACTGAAAGTCAACATTTGCAGAGAGGAGGAAAGAGAGATGAGTATTTGGGAGGCCAAAGCCATGGAATTCTTAGGTCATATGGAATTCTACCTTCCTATCTCACAAAAGGAAGATGGAGGAGAATGTCTCAGATCACATGGCCATCACTGGTAGAGAGAGGCACCGGCTGGAATTTGGCTAAGGCCCTCCTAAGGCCCAAGTGAGGAGAAATGGGGCTAGTAAAATGTATCCACAATCCAGATGAGAAAAAAGGAACAGGGGAAAACAGCTTTCAAGCTAAGAAGGGCCAGCCAATTTTGGAGAGGATTTAGAAGGCAGAATGAAACAAAACTGCACCCCATTTTTTAATGTAAATATATAAGACAGACAGACTGAGACATAACTGTGGCTATTCAATGGTGTTTGTACATAGATGGCAAAGATCTTCTTTAAACTGAAACTGCCCCCGACCACTAAAGTGTTTAATGATTACCGGTTTGAGAGACTGGATTGTGAAAAAGTAAATGGGAAAATAGGATTTGGTTTATAGCATTTTAGCTGACTCACAATGCCTCAGGAATTTAAACAAGATGTAACAGAACCTAAAATCAGAGGCCCCAAGGAAGTGGCAAGCAGTTCCCAGGCGCTGGGGGGTTGGAGAACATAGAAAAAGGAGAAGCCCTACCCCGATGGCAGGATTGAGCACAAAAGCTTTCTGTTTCTCCTGCATTTTCTGCATCCGCTCTGCCACTTGTCAGAATGTTGAACTCCAGTCTTCAATGGGGTCATTTCTGGGGCCCAGAGAGACACAAGGTGGGGAGATTGTCTATGAGGATTTCAAAGAAGGGCCTCAGCTGGGAGTCATGATCAAAGACTGCTTTGGGATTTAGGTCAGAGGTCAACAACTTCACACAGACGTATGCTTGGAGCTGTTAGAGGCACTGTGTCCCTGAACCCCAAGGACGGGGGTTAATAAAACATTCAGCACCTCAAGCCCAGAGCAAAGCCAACACTCACGTTGAAAGTTCCAGCCTGAGACCCAAACTGTCTTGCATAAACCCCAATGCCATGGCCACACTAACCTCACCCTCTGCAGGCCCCTTAGGGAATGCCTGTCATTCAAATGTCAAAGTTGCCCCCTTGTTTTCCATCTGAAGGTTCATCAGAAGCCTTTCCCATTCATGGAAATACATTCTGGAAATCCCTCCAAAGAGTGAGCCCTCAGTACTGGAGGGAGGGATAACGGTGAGGGAACCAAGCTGCAAGGTAGGTGTAGCACCTCACAGTTGTCAAACATTCCTTGAATGAATTAATCGGGAACAAATCAATGTGTTAATGAGGCAGACTTGTTATCTGCTTAGTTACAAATCATGGAATCTCAAAGAATGAGGATCTTCTTCAGTTGATTTCTAATGGCTTTGCTAGGTGATAATTTGTGAATCGCCCATTATGGCAGGACCTCAAAGAGTTAGTTACCTCTGTACATGGCACCCAAAATTTTGCCATACCATCCAATTCTGCAAAGATTCCATCCCTTCTTGAACTATTTTTGTATCACTTCTAGGGCAGACGAGTTTTACATATTTCATGCCCCTTGTGTAAATTGTCTCCTGTCATTTGTCCTCAAACTATTTCTGAAACTTGCTAGAGACCTAAGAAAGAGGAGACTAAAGCAGAAAGCAGCGACAGGGTTCATATTGCATGGTTTAACGTCTAGATTCCTAAACACAGCTGGGCATCTGAATCATCTGGCGAGTTTTATTTTTTAATAACTACCCATTTCTGGGTACCACATCCACCCTAAGGTTCAGATTCAGTAGTTCTGGAGTGGAGCCCCAAAATCTGTATTTTTAAAAAGCTTCCCAGATGACTCTGAAAATCAGCCAAGTTTGGGAGCCACTGATTTAAGGAACAACTGGAAGATCTCCATGCCTACACTGTTTGAAATTCTTCATTTCACTTAGTCATAGAGCCTGAAATTAGCATCCACTGCAGCAGATACATTTTTGGTGAAGGAGGGCCCCCATGAAAAGGATCAGGGTTAGGGTATTTCAGATTCATTTACACCTTCACATGAATTATACTACAGCCTAGAATCTGGAAGGTGGAAAAGCACCTTTGAAAAACCCATGGTCTCCTTTCCCAAGACCGCTGCTAAATACAAAAAGCTGCTCTAAAATCATCAACAAGCCTCTGCCGTATCCCTCTGGTGTCAGGAAGCCCTCAGCTTTGTCAGGTGGCCCACTCCAATTGTCTATTTAGCAGAGTTTCCCATACCTGGCTGTGCATCAGAATCTCCAGGGATGCTTTCAAAAAATAGATATTTCAGGGCCTTATTCCAAACCTACAAAACCAGACCTCTTGCACAAGGAACTAAGAATCTTCTTTATTTTTCTGTAACATTCCCTCCAGGCAGCTCATGCACAGAACCACATCTGAGCATGGGAGGTGGAGGCTGCAGCGAGCTGAGATCACGCCATTGCACTGCAGCCTGGGTGACAGAGCGAGACTCCATCTCAAAAAAAAATTTAAAAAACAGGCAGCTGGCTGCATTGGCCAGCCAGTATAGTTTGCTTACCCTGGGACTGGTCCACCTACCTTGGTTGCTGATTGATAGATACAGTTATTCTGAAATAGAATCCCTTCCCCATCTTCCCACATTCATACAACTCGATCCAAGTTGGTGAAACGCAAACCAAGATTCCTTGAGCAAACTTCCTGCTTTCTAGCACCCACCTCATTGATCTATCTCCCATGCTATTGCATTCCCACTTACTTCCTGTCTCGAAAGTTCATCCACTCAACCCATCTTTCTACTCACAGAGAGGCCCACAGAAATGCCAACGACAATCACCCTCTTCTTCCCGGCAGCCACCTAGGGGAGGAGGATGGACAATGCAGTGTAACTGGGAGGATTCCAGGGCACAAACCTACTGTGTGAGGACATCGGGGCCAGGAACAGGGGAGGGAGGGAATAGGCTTTGGCTGAATGCTGGGGCTTTTATGTCCCCATGAGAAGGAACAGATAGAAGTCTCTGGTCAAGTATCAGTGGGAAGCACAGACCTTCTTCAGTTCCTCAGTCCCGTGTAAGGCACTATCTTCCGTCCCCTCCCTAGAGGCCACCACAGACCTAAGAGGACAGACTCGAGGTCAGTGGCACTGGCTGGGAAGCAGAAGCCTATGGTTTATTAGGGCAGGCTACATTAAGAGATGGGAATAAAGGGACAACTATCACTGAATGAGTGCCCACTGTTTGCTGGGCACCATGACAGACACTCCATAGAGTTGAAAAACCCAAATACCTACAACAGCCGGTCAGGCGACATAAGTAGGTAAAGTGGACCAAGTGTAAGGCAATAAGGAATGGGGGACTAAGGCAAGCTGGACACAATCTCTGCCTAAGAAGCACTATTCAGGCCAAACAAAATATTCACAGCCTAACTTGGCTTACCTGTCACCCCCTGCAATGAGGTAGGTGTAGAGGTTTCTGTCCCAGACCCTTTATCAGCTGATTAAAGGACACCTGTCAAGGGGGAGAGGGTGTGAAGGGGTAATGACAGAGAAGAAACAATTATCTTGGATTTTCAACTCCTAGAGGACAGAGACTATGTAATGATTCTCTTAGACCAGTGCTTAACCGAGTCCTACATGAAATCTGGCGCTTAAAGCTGCCACTTGGGGATGATTAGTTGGCGGTGCATGGGATGTAGAGACATTGACAACAGACTGGTGGGACTCAGATGGACTCAGAAGAAATGGGACTTCATGGTGACGCCTAGCTTTTGGAAGAGAGAGAGAGCCGGGCTTGGAGTCCAGGTTGAGTGAGGGGGGCACCTGGGAGCTCAGTTATGGTGATCTTTATGGTCCTGAGGGTCACCTCAAGAAGTGGAGAGGGAAGAAAACCGGGGACCAGGGTGCTCACCGACATGAGGAATGCCATCCGGCCAGAGGTGCCCCCTCCACTCAATACAACCAGCCCCCCATCTGGCTCCTGAAGAAGGAAAAAGGCGTATATCACCAGGGCCTGGCTCAGGTGGGGGAAGCATATTCTTTGTCAGTAATGCAAGAGGAACCGAAAAGACTCCTTATCCCTCCTCTTATCACAAAAGTGAACAAATACACGCAGTGTGGTGTAGCAAAAAGAACACCGGATTAGAGAAACCAGTTTGACTCCCATGTCCTGCTCCACTACTTATTCGAATCCTTACTTATCCCCAAAAGAACTGAAAGCAGCTTTGTCATCTAAATAAAAGTACATAAAAAAAGCAGCATTATCCAGCAATTATTAGCTGGGTGTATTTGAGCAAGCTACAGTGATTATCTTTCTAAGTGTTCGTTTTTTCATCTGATAAAAACAAACAAACAAACGGAAAGCATATCAACTTCACAGGTTTTTGTGAGGGTAATAGCTGTGAAAGTAGATTGTCAATTATAAAGTATTAAGCAGATAAGTTATTATTATTTTTGATGATTAAGATGTAAATAAGGGTCCAAAAGGGAGGATCTCCAAAAGGGACAAAGGAGAATGAGATCTATAAAACCGAGAAATAGAGACCAAAGAAAGAGAAAGAGGGAAACAGAAAAGTTGAGGCAGGGAGCAGAAGGAAGGTTGGTACCTTCAGCACTTCCTGAACTTTCCCAGCCACTTGTACCATGGTGGTCAGAATGGATTCGCTGTAGAGTCTCTGTAGGGAACAGGCAGGAATCAGAAGCCAAGAAGAGGAGGACGGTGGATAGGGCAGGAGGTTTCAGGGTTTCCAATATTAGGAGCCATGGTCAGGGCAGAGGTGGGACTGGGGTTGGCATATTTATTTGCAGGATCCAGGGCATGGGTCTGTGTTACCTGGTATCTGGGCAGGGATTGCCCCTCCTCCTGGAAGATCTCAGCATCACATTGCCCAGCAGTCGAACAATTTTCTCGGCATCTGCTTTGTCCAGGTCCCGGGTCAGTGGATTTGACTTCTCTGTGATTGGCACAGCTGCCTCATACCCAGACAACTAGAAGGAAGAGGGGACAAGGAAGGAGCAGGCAGCCACAGCCTCATTCATGCCTGCTGAGCTGGAGGTGGGAGTGGCAGCAGGCACAGAGTTTGGACACACACACACACACACACACACACACACATCACACTGGAAACTCAGCCTGCACTTGCTACTCTGGGCATATTAGGGAAAGAACATCAGGAAGGAAAAAGAGGTGAGCAGAAACCCAGGGTGGAGGGAAGACTGGATGAAAAATAATTCTAGGAATCAGCACGGAAAGCCAACATGGAGAAGGGGTCTCACCTCCCACTGGCCAGGCTCCGGGGTCTCAATGACATGTTGAAACCGTTTTGTGGCCAGCATGGTCCCGCGCTGTGGCTACACTGTTCTGCCTGCCTCTTCAGCCGCACAAACCCCTCATGTCACAGTGACTCTGCTTCCAGTTGGCAGGGCCTTACCTGAGCCACAGTGATGATTAACCCAAGCACCCTGGGCTCTCAGGGCACCCCCTGCCCCGTACCACCGCCTGTACCACCCTTTCCTGGTCACTAGGCCCCCAGCCCTCTGGTAACCTCAGGGAAACTCCTCTTTGCATTCACCCTGACTCCCCAGCCTCTGCTTTGGCCCCTGAAGAGGAAGACCTGAGGTTTGTGACTCTTGCCCTACAGGGACAATGCCCTCTTTTCTGGAGGACCTAGAGCCTGGGAGTGCAGGACAACACACAGAGCAGTGAGAATCCCTGGGCAGGTGTCCTCCGAGGCCAGAGATCAGAGTCTATAGGTCAGCAGAAGTCAGAGGACCTGGCCCATGACTTGATCACATGCTCCACAGGCAAAGTCCCACTGGTTCCCTTTTACCCTCTCCTCTCAGAAAGGAAGGCAGCAGAAGCTTCTGAGCCCCAAGTGTGCACACACTGTACTGAATATTACAGCTGGAAAAATGCCACAGAGACAGAAATACTGCATGGAGAATTAGAAACCAAAAGATCTGCCCTAAAAGCAATGTTAGCCAGCATCTATTTACACTGAACAACACACTTTTCACAGACAGTATCTCATGGGATACACCAACACGAAGATGTTGGTCAATATTGACACCTTCATTTTTCAAATGATGAAACAGGCTCAGAGTAGTTGAGCTGGTTGCTTAGGATCACACAGCTGGACAAATTGGCACTCACTCAGGTTCTCACTCCAGATTTCAAGCTCAACCAAAGCATGAAATAATGTAAGGGCTTACACGTTTATTGAACAAAGGAAGTAACCAAAAAATTGGTGCAAATTTACAATCATCATCCATTCACACAGTGTTGTGAGATTTATAAAGACCTTTCCCCAACATTGTCTCATTTGAGCCTCACAACAACCCCGTGAGGTCTCACTCGCTTTGCTTTTCACTTCACTTTGCAGCACAGATAAACCAGTTTCTCCAAAACCACACCATAAGTGGCAGAGCTTTAGAAAGACAAAAAACAAAACAAAACAAACAAAAAAGACGAAAAGAAAAGAATAATAATTTTTTTAAAAAAGCCATAGGTCTCTGAGCTTTGAGTCTCCCTAGAAGCCCAACACTTAACAATCTCTGTATCTGCAGGTTTTAACTAGATACAGAAGAGACGCTCAATAAATATTTGCTGAATAAATGAAAGAAAGAATGAGAAAGCGAATGGAATGAAATCAGATTATGAATGGGAAAGAGACTTAAAAGCTGACGCAGTCTATAAGTAAGAGATTGTTAAAGCAATTATTATCTCCAACACTCTGTCCCATCTCCTCTTAGCCCCCCGAGCACTGGAGGTGGAATTCCTCCTCCCAACTTGGCTCTTCCACGCGGGGAGGAAGGGGATCTCCCAGGTGCAGGAGACCTTCGCCCCCGAGCCTCCCCAGACGGCCCCGCCGGCTCCTCCGCCTGAGCTGGGAGAGAGAAGGGATAAGGTATGGGGGCCCCGGAGGCGCCATTGGGAGGGTCGCGGGAGGAGCCCCGAGAGGACGGGGGTGGGGGGCTGGAGGGGACTGACGGCGGCCCAGAACCCCGGCGGGGCGGGGCGGGCCAGCTGTCCCCGTGCGTCCCGGTCGGGCTGCGGCGGAGTGAGCGGGGCCAGCGCTGCAGAAGGCTGCTGGCTCTCCGGGACGGTCACATTCCGCTGCAGGGGCGGGCGGAGGCCGCCGCACTGCCTCCCGCACCGCGGACCCAGGCCAGCGTCCGGGCAACGCCCCCTGCTCCGGGACAGACTCCCCGCCCGCCTGAGCTCTGGGGGCTCCGCAGACCCGCGCCCTCTCGGCCCGCAGCTCGGCCCCACGCTGCCCGCCTCGCCGGGCCCGCGCCAGGATGGGGTAGGGGCAGCGCCACCGAGTTGGGCGATGGGCCGCCCTGTGGGCACCGAGCAGTCCCCGGAGGCCTGACCGACCGCGAGGACCGGCGGAGGTGGGTGTGGGCAGGGCTGACCGCGCTCTGGGGGCGCCCGGGCAATGCGGGGGCGGGAGGACGCGAGGAAAATAGGGCTGCTGTGAGCTGTGGGGAGCCCAGGAGAGCTGCTACCCCTCCCCCCGTGCGTTCTGGGCAGTCCTTGACCCCCCACAACTCCTGCCACCTCCAGGAGCCCCGCCTGGATGTCAAGCGGATGCCCCAGTGACCCCCAGCGGACTCGGTGGGGACATGGCTTCACTGATGCCCCTTTCCCCATGTCGAAGCTCCAGGGTCCTCCTGTTGGTCAGCTGTGACCTGGGCTTCGTGCCAGTAGGTGAGTAAAGGGCAACGGGGCTGAGGGGCCACCAGAGCTAGTCAGTGGGTGAACCTGTTAACACCCGGTTCCTGCAGACTGGCCTCCCTCTCCTGTGAATGTGACTGTCACTCACCCCAGAGCCAACTCGGCCACTGTGTCCTGAGACGTCCCAGAAGGCAACATCGTCATTGGCTACTCCATTTCCCAGCAATTATGAATCACCCTTCTTCTCCCCCAACCTGTGTCCTTGGATTTCTGCACATTCCTTCACTTAGGTGGGGGGATCTAGAAGCAGGCTACCCTGGCTCAGGCTGCCCTTTTCATGCTACTCCCACGGAGTGCTTGGATGTTGAAGAGTCTCCGTTGAGTCTTGTGGCCTGGCACTGGGTTGAGGCTGTCCTCCTCCCCCTCAACTCCCTGCAGAGGCAGACTGGCCCCGGGCAGCGTGTGATTCGGGAGGTGAACACCACCACCCGGGCTTATGCCCTCTGAGGCCTGGCTGAGGACAGTGACTACACAGTGCAGATCAGGAGAGAGCCCCCCAGGACCCCGGGTGCACTTCCGAACTCTCAAGGGTTCTGACCGGCTACCTTCAAACAGCTCAGGCCCAGGTGAGGGTCTGTGCTACTGGATTCTCTGGGTGCTTACCCAGCTTGCAGCCTCTTACTTGCTTCCCCAAGACAAGCAACAGTCCAGCTGAGGTGAATAGGATGATTTAATTCATTGTACTACC